AGAGGTCTTTTGTGTTCCTGGTAAGATTTATTCCCAAGTATTTTATTTTTTTGGTAGCTATTGAGAACAGTATTGATTTCCTTATTTCTTTTTCACCAATCTCTTTGCTGATGTAGAGGAATCCAACTTATTTTTGGATGTTGTTGATCTTACGTCCTGCCATGATGCTACATCTCTCAATTAGTTCCAGTAGGTTTTTGACTGAGTCTCTTGGGTTTTCTAGGTACAGGATAAATGGTTAACTTCTTGATGACTAACCAAAAGGTTAGTAGTTCCTGTTCACCCACAGGCACTTTGGAGGACAGGCTAGTCAATCTGCTTCTGAAAGGTCACAGCCATGAAAACCCTATGAGGCAGTTCTATTCTGCACGCATGGGGTCTCCATGAATTGGATTTGATTCAACAGCAGTCACCAACACCAATACATGTACATAGTTTTAAAATAAATGTATCAAAATTATGGATGCAAGAGTTAAAAAAAAAAAAAAGGAAGAAGAAAAAGAAAAAGCCCTAGCCATTAGCCTGGAACAGCATGAGTTTCTGATCTCAAGAAATGCTCATTTGCAAAGAGTGAAGAAAATCAAAGATGCATGGAAACAATTAGTCCAAGGGACTAGTGGACCATGTGAACCTTAGCTTCTACAACCCTGAGAGCAGAAAAGTTGAGAGTGTCCAGCTGCCATCGTGGACCTCTCTGAAAGGGATCATAATAGGAGATCCTGGGTAGAGGGGGAGAAAAATGTAGAACAAAATTCAAAATCATAAAAAAAGACTAGGCTTACTGGCTGATGGGCACTCTGGTGACATACTACCTAAGGCATATGACTGCAAACCAAGGCATATGACTGCAAACCAGGCATGAGGCTGGCACAAGGAAGATCGGGCAATCTACTTCTGTAGAGATACTGCCTTGGAAACCCAAGGAGGGGTCACTATGAGTCAAATCAACTCAACAGCAGTGAATTTTTTTTTTTTTTTTTTACTGGTTTGGAACCCCTGAGACTACAGCCCTTTGTCACCTTCAGATCTGGAACTGAACTCACTCTATGGCTCAACTTTCAGCCAAATAATAGCCAGGCCTATGAGGTAAACACCAGAGAGGTATGTACTCCTCAGAACAATCAACCATAAGAGATCAAAAGGGTTAGCACTTGCCTAGGGATAAAGCTCAGAAGTCAGGAATGGATAGGAAAGAACGACAAAGGGAAATGGTAACCACAGGGAGGAAGTGGGAAAAGTGCTGTTACTGTTACATTGTGGGGATTGCAAGCAATGTCATACAACAAAAGTTGTATGAACTGTTGAATGGAAAATCAATTCACTCTGTAAATTTTCACCCAAATCACAATACAAAGTTATGGGGGGGGGGGATGTTCTTCTGTTGCCTTTGCTGTATGTAACAATAATTTATGAATGGATACATAGATAGACACTCAAGCTGAACAGGGTGGGAAGGTGAATAAGGTTACACCTATAAATATATGTAGGACATTTCTACATATATATTTAAATGTGCTACAGATATATCTATGAATATGGTAGAGCATTCAGGGGGCAAAGTTATGAAAACTTCTTAGCCATATCCAAGTACCTTGAGGGAATTCATTGCTGGGCCTGGGGGCTCAGAACCATAATGGTCAACTGGCACAACATAGTCCACAGGTAATGTTCTACACCCTACTTTTATGAGTGGTGACTGGGGTCTTATAAGCTTGTTGAGTGGCCATCTTAAGTACAATTATTTACCTCTTCCCATCCGGAGCAAAGAAGAGTGAAAAAAATAAAAAACACATGGAAAAAATTAGTCCAAAGGACAAATGGACCACATGAACCCCAGCATCTACAACCCTGAGACCACAAGAACTAGACGGTGCTTGGATACCACTGCCTGTTTTTCTGAAAGAGATCATAATAGGCAGTCCTATTATAGGAAATGGGAGAATATTGTGTAACATACCTTAAAATCATAAAAAAAAAAAAAAAAAGACCAGGCTAACTTGTCTGATAGAGACTGGTGGAACCCCTAAGACTATGGCCATTCATTACCCTTCAAGCCTGGAACTGAACTCACCCCCATGGCTCAACTTTCAACAAAATTATAAACAGGCCTATAAAATGAACAGTAACACCAGGAAGGTGTTATTAGAACAATCAACCATACGAGATCAAAAGGGCAGCATTTACCTGGGGATAAAGCTCAGAAGGCAGGAAGAGATAGGAAAGGACAAGGAGTAAGTAGGAAGAGTGCTGTTATATTGTAGGGATTACAATTGATGTCAGTGCAGATCAGTGAGTAATCATGACAAATTATGGATAACATTAAGAAGAATGGGAATCCCTGAGCACTTGATTGTACTCATGAGGAATCTGTACCTTGACCAGGAGGCTGTCGTTTGAACAGAACAAGGGGACACTACATGGTTTAAAATCAAGAAGGGAGTGTGTCAGGGTTGTATTCTTTCTCCACACTTATTCAATCTATATGCTGAGCAAATAATCCGAGAAGCTGGACTATATGAAGAAAAACGTGGTATCACGATTGGAGGAAGAATCATTAACAACCTGAGATATGCAGACGATACAACTTTGCTTGCTGAAAGTGAGGATGACTTAAGGCACCTACTGATGAAGGTTGAAGAATACAGTCTGCAGTATGGATTACATCTCAACATAAAGAAAACAAAAATCCTCACAACTGGACCAATGAGCAGCATCACAATCAATGGAGAGAAGATTGAGGTTGTCAAGGAATTCACATTGCTTGGTTCTACAATCGATGCCTACGGAAGCAGCAGTCAGGACATTAGACGACGTGTAGCATTGGGAAAGTCAACTGCGAAGGAACTGTTTCAAGTGCTGAGGAGCAAGGATATCTCCTTGAGGACTAAGGTGCGGCTGACACAAGCCATGATATTTCCAATCGCCTTGTATGCATGTGAGAGCTGGACAATGAATAGGGAAGACCGAAGAAGAGTTGATGCTTTTGAGTTGTGGTGCTGGCGGAGAATGCTGAAAGTACCATGGACTGCTAAAAGAACTAACAGATCTGTCCTGGAGGAAATGCAGCCAGAATGCTCCTTGGAAGCAAGAATGGCCAGACTTCGTCTCACCTATTTTGGTCATGTTGTCAGAAGGGACCATTCCCTGGAGAAGGATGTCATGCTTGGTAGGGTGGAGGGTCGACGAAAGAGGGGGAGGCCTTCAACGAGATGGATTGATACAGTGGCTGCAATGATGGGCTCGAGTATAGCAGGTATTGTGGGGCTGGTGCGGGATCGGGCAGTGTTTCGTTCTGCTGTGCATGGGGTCGCTATGAGTCGGAAACGACTCGACGGCACTTAACAACAACAACAACAACAATTGATGTCGCAAAACAAAAGGTGTAGAACAAAACTGTTGAATGCAAAACTAATGTGCTCTGTAAACTTTCACCCAAATCACAATAAAAAGAGAAAAAGAAAAAAATGCTCCTTGATCAAGCCTTTCCCAGGTCAGATGTGCCTGGCCAGAGGTATATATGGCCAAGTTGTATTAACCCTGAGTCAGATCTTCATGTCTTAACCCTGCTGAGGACAGGATGCCATCGCTGCACTTAGAATAACAGCGGGCAGTATTTTTCCCATGTGGTAGTGTAAGAATGGTACGTTTATAATCGCTGGCATCACAGTCAGTGAAAGATGGTCTTTGGAGATTCACAATAAGCTCACACTTTCGAGGCCTGAGATGCCCCAGGTACAGAGATCTGTGTAATTTTATTTCTTTTTAAAACTCATTTATCCAGGACTTCCTTCCATTACCTGCTGTGAACCCATGGTCCCTGAACAATTCCAGGACTCATGTGAAGCCCTGAAGGGCCAGGAAAAGGAGCCAGGCTGCTTGTGTGTGAGCCCATCTGGCTCTCTGGGATATAGAGTCTAATCTGCTCTTCCTTGTTCCAAATCTGAGCCCTTCCTGCCCAGCCCAAAGCCTCGTGATGGCTCCGTGAGTCCTGCTCTCTGTGTTGCTGTGCTATGGGCAGAGCAACAAGGCCCTTGGCACTCCCACAGAGGTGGAGAGAGGAGAGATAACATTGTGGCATGTGCTGAAGGCATTGATTGAACAGAGAGGAAGTCCTCACCTGCTTCACAACTCCTGAGCCACTTTGCCTGGCCCCACTCCTTGTCCAGGGGTGGGGGTTTCTCATCATATGATTCACTGGCTTTGTGGGTATAGTTCCTGGTAAGGGCTGAGGGAATGGCAGGAAATCCTAGGCTGCCCTGAGGAACACCATGGATGGCTTTCCACTTCTCTGGCCATCACACTTCTAGTGCACCACACACACATACACTCACTCATTCACTCACTCACACACATGCTCACTCATACACATTCACACTCAACACTCAGACATACATTCATGTGCTTACATACATTTTCACACACACACTCATAACACTCTCACACACTTAAACATAACACATTCACACACACTTACCCCACTCACACTCACACCAAACCTTCACATGTACATACAACCACATACAGTCCACACACACCAACACACAAATGTAAATCAAATAATATTAATAAAAGAAGACATGCCTTCACAAGATACACTACAAACTCAGAAACAGGCACATTCATGTCCCAATGCCTTTGCAGTTGCCCATGTAGTAACAACAATACCTCTCCTCTGTTTCCGTTCTCCTCTTGCCCTAACCCAGAAATTAAGACTTCAGGGAACGAGTCTTTCTCAGACACGTCTGTCTGACCCTGTGGCCCCAGGGGTGAGAGACCAAGGAGGCAGCTGGAAAGGAGCATACCTTAAAGAGCTGACCCCTGTCCTTGGCCTGACGGATGGTCCCATGGCCTAGCTTGGTCTCTGTAGTCTCCAGCTTGAAGATCTCCTTCAGGAACTTGTTTTTGGAGGAGTGGACCAGGGTAAGGATATCTGTGCTCAACACATCTCGATTCTTCTCCAGGAAGCCTGGGGGAAAAGCAGAGCCCCACACCCACTCAACTCAGCCATCACCCTTCCCTGGTCTCCTAGGGAAAAGGGGAGTAGGTTATATCAGGCAGGGTGCCCCTCAGGAGCTTCACACATAGAGGGTCCCACAAGAATCCACCAGTCACTTCACCTACCACTTCCACCCAGCAGCATATCTCAGCTCTACCATCTGTACATCCCTAAATCTGCCCCAACTCTCCAGATCACTATAACTTCCCTTGGCCAAGTTGCTGTCATTCATTTTCCCTGAATTACTCTAATAGCTGCCTAACATCCTCTACTTCCAGCCTCTCTGTCCCTCCCATTCTATGCCATTGCCAGATGGACCTTTCTTACCCCCTATGTTGCTATGTTGCCATGTCACCCCCCTGCTTAACATTCTTTCTTTAATCCTCACTACCAGAATCTACATTTTTGTGCTGGTATCCTCCACTCTGCCCTCCTCCAGGTTCCACTTTCTGCACTCTATCCACACCAAATCACTCCACATAAGGTCTTGCTTCCCCACACCTCTAGACTTTGACCTAAGTTAGTCCCCTGCCCTTTTCTCCCTCATCTATGTGGGCCAACTCCTCCAGACCAGGCTCCTGTGCCCTATCCCAGGAAGCTACACAGAAGCTGCAGGGGAGGAAAGATGTCACCCCAAGACATCTCCAGGCTTGCCTTTCCCACTCACTTCAATGATGGTTTCATTGGTTGTCCACCCCCTTCACCAGACAGAGCACTCTCTGAGTGCAAGGATTGTGGCCATTCAGGCCCAGAGGATATATGGAGGGGAGTAAGTCCACCCTAAACATTTGCTCAGTCCCAGTCATCCCCATCACTACCAGATACAGTCAAGAAGTGACTATTGACACAGCAGATGATGTGTTTATTCAAGAGGCAATCTAGGTTTTATGGCAATGTCATTGCTAAGAAAAGAAAGGAGACAAGAGCATGAAGTTTTATCCCTCTCCTTGTGCCATAATCCCTGTGTGGCTTGCTCCTGGAATCTGGCAGCCTGGTGCTATCTCCAGACTAGACAGGGAGGCATAGCCCTCATGCCCTCACCTCACCCCCAGCAGGGTCTCTGGGGGATTCTGTGTGCCCTCCTCCAGATGGCCCTTGGCTGAGGAGTGGGCAAATCTATGCAGAAAGGACCACTTTAAAGGCTCCCATGGTAACAAGAAAGGTCTTGTGCCTACTTTCCTCTTCCTAAGTGCCTGAATAGAAGGAGGAAGAAATTAAACACCACTTGGCTCTCTGAAGGAGCTCTGGTGGCGTAGTGCCTAAGGCATTTGCCTGCTGACCAGAAGGCTGGTGGTTCAAGCCCACCAGCCACTCCTTGGAAGGAAGGTTGGGCAATCTACTTCCATAGGAATACTGCCTCAGAAACCCAAACAGGGGCAGACACTATGAGTTGGATCCAACTTGACAGCAGTGCGTTTGGTTTTTTGGGGGGTTTTGGCCTATGAAGAGACCCTGGGTGGTGCAACCAGTTAACATGCTTGGCTGTTAACTTAAAAGTTGGGGATTTGAATCAAACCAAAGATGCCTCAGAAAAAAAGGCCTGGAAATCTATTTCCAAAAGTCAAACTTTGAAAACCTCATGGAGCATAGTTTTACTCTGACACACATGGGGTTACCATGAGTCAGGGTGGACTTGATGACAAATGGTACCCTTCAGTACAACGAACGCTCTGTGCACACTTGCATGTCCTGGTATAGCGCACGGGGAGTTTGAGTCAAGGGTGGGAGTTGGAGAGGGAAGCCTGTTTTTTTTGTCTCTGCCTGCTAGGAGTGGCTAGGTGAAGGAACTGCATATAGTGCTCCAAGGGGAGTCACACAGCCCTTACGGGGCTGAAAGTGATGGGGAATGGGTGTGCAATGAGAAGCTGAAGGGTTGCTCCCAAGGGTTATCATGAGAGGAGAGTGGCACACTCATTTCTTTCCACTGTTTGCTAAGGAAAACTGCCTTCTGGATAGGGATGGTGGGCAAATGATGGAGTGATGCCTAGTGCCTCTCTGAGGCTTAGGCAGAGCCTCCTCTCCCTGGATCAGGAGAGTTTCTCAAATGCTTTCAGAGGGAGAGAGAGATGGGGGAGGGTTGAGACATTCCTAGGATCAATAGTCAGAGCAAGTGGAGCATAGCTCATCAACAAAGCAGGTGTAATGGGTTGAATTGTGTCCACAAAAAGATATATTCAAGCCCTAATCCCTGGTACCTTTGAAATGTTATCAGCTAAATTAACATGAGGTCATGGGCCAGGACCAATCTGAGTGGTGTTCTTATAAAAGAGAAGAAGAGACACAGAGAGATAGATAGAAGGATACATCTAAAAGCCAAGGAATGCCTGGGGTTACCAAAAGCTGAGAGATAAGAAAGATCCTACTCCTAGAGCTTTTGGATAGATGATAATCCTACTGACACCCTGAATTCAGACTTATAGCTTCCAGAACCTTAAGACAATATATTTTTGTCTTTATAAGCCCCCCATTTTATATTACAGCAGCCCTAGGAAATGAATACAGCAATTACCAAAAATAAAAATCAGAAGGTTCAGCTTTAATGATCATTTCCAGAATTTTACATCCAAAAATCTAGAAAGAAGCTACCTCAGTGCCAGCATATATTTCAGTTTGTGTCACTACACAAAATAAAGTGTCATCTTAAATTGCATATGGAAGTTGAGGAGTGTGCTCAGTTTCTCTTCTGTGTTTTGGGATCCTGGAGGTTGACTGGGACTCTGGCCTCTTCAAAGCCTCCAAAGCCATGATCTGGCAGGGATGGGGACTGTGAAGGAGTTACCCACCTCCTCATTTGCCGAACAGACACGACTCCCTGACCTGCCATCATCTCACCTCTACTACAGAAAAATGCCAGACTTTCCTGCTACTTTATTTCTCCAACTGAAAAGTGTACAGGGACCCCAATTTCATCTCTCTGCTTAATCAGACAGAGCTGTTTTCATGTCTCCCCATAAGCCACAGGTAGTGGTGCTCTGACTTCCCTGTTTTCCTGACCATAGTTACACACTGACCACCCTACTTTCTCATTTTTCTAATCACACCCAATAGGTTGACAATCCCCAGGATTTATTTATCCAGCCAAAATTATGTCTGACCTGACTTTACACAATACATAAAATTAACTCAAAATGGAACAAAGACCCAAATATAAGAGCCACATGACAAAATTCTTAGAAGAAAACATAGTGGTCAATCTTCATGACCTTGGATTTGGCAGAGGATTCTCAGTAATGACATCAAAAGCACATGCAATAAAAGAAAAAAAATAGATATATTGGACTTCATAAAAATTAAAAATTTTTGTGCTTCAAAAGTCAGTATTAAGACAGTGAAATGATCATTTACAGAATGGAAGAAAATATTTTCAAATCTTATATCTGATAAGGGACTTTTATCCAGAACATATAAAGAACTCCTACAAGTCAATATTAAAAGACAACACAAATAAAACATGGGCAAAAGATTTGAATAAATATTTCTCCAAGGAAGATATACAAATCGGCAATAAACACATAAAATATGCTCAACATCATTAGTCATAAAAAAAAAAAAAACCAAACTCACTACCTTTGAGTTGATCCCAACTCATAAGGACCTCTCCTTTGGTTTCCGAGGTGATATTTCTATGGAAGGATATTGCCTAATCTTCCTTCTGAGGGGTGATTGGTGTTTGAACCACCAGCCTTCTGGTTAGCAGTCAAATGCCTTAGGCACTACTCCACCAGAGTGCTAATCAAAACCATGATGACATTCTAACTCACACCTTCTAGGATGGCTGTAATTTTTTAAAAAAAAATAAATAACTGTTCATTAGGATTTGGAGAAATTATTGGTGGGAATGTAAAGTGATTGAGACACTTTGGAACCGAGGGTTGGGATCAGACTTTGAAATAGCTTGTCAGTTCCTCATAAAGTTAATGCTAGAATTATGATACAACTCAGCCATTCCTCTTCTATGTATATGTTGTTGTTGTTGTTGTTATGTGCCGTCGAGTCGGCCCCAACTCATAGCGACCCCTCCTTGGGTTTCCGAGGTAGTATCGCTACAGAAGTAGGATTGCCCAACCTTCCTTCCGAGGAGTGGCTGGTGGGTTTGAACGGCCAGCCTTCTGGTTAGCCGTCAAGTGCTTTAGCCACTATGCTATAGCCAAGATAAATGAAAACATATGTCTCCACAAAAACTTGCTTATGAATGTTTCATGATGGCATTTTTCATAATAAGCAGAAACTGGAAATAACATAAATGTCCACCAACATATGTGTGGATAAACAATATGTGGTATAGTATACAATAGGATATTTTACTGCAATATAAAGGAACAAATATTGATACCTGCTCTGGTTCAAACCCATCAGCCACTCCCCAGAAGGAAGGACAATCTACTTCCATAGTGATACCGCCCAGGAAAGCCAAGGAGGGGTTGCTATGAGTGGGGTCCGACTCAATGGCACATAACAACAACAACATGGATGAACTTTGAAAACACCATGCTACATGAAAGAAGCCAGGCACAAAGGATCATATACTGTATGATTACATTTATATAAAACATGAAGAACAGGCAAATTCATAGAACCAGAAAGTAGATTGGTGGTTGCTTAGGGCTAGGGCAAGTTGAAGGAAATGGGAAGTTACAGTTAATGGGCACAAGGTTTCTTTTTGGAGCGATGAAAATGTTCTAAAACTAATAGTGTTGGTGGTTGCAGAGTTCTGTTAATGTAGTAAAAACCATCGAATGCACACTTTAAATTAGTCATCTGCATGTTATACTAATTATGTCTCAATAAAACTGTTATTCCCCCCACCCCCCCACCCAAAAACAAAAAACAAAAAAACTCGGCATAGGCCATTCCACCCCTTTTCTCCAATAAAAGCCATTCTAATCGTCCTTTGGTTCTATTGCTAGATCTGAAAGATAACCTAGTTTCCTAGCTTCCTTGTCCTGGCCACCTTCAACAGGGACAGATTTGGTGGAAAGAGCTGTACTCACCCTCTGTCTTGTAATACACCTCTCCAGCAAAATGTGCAATGCCAAATCGGACATCATGGATGTTCTTGGGTTGCAGGAAGGCCTTGTTGTGTGCATGGACACTCTTCAATTTTTGCAGCATGGTGATGTCTGTCCCCTGGAAGAACCCAGACACCCTAAGGGCTGATGTCCCAGAATGCAGCATAGGAAGGTCAGAGGGCTCCACCACAGGGCTCAGGAACTTCCTTTTGGGGCTACAACAACCTAGACTCTGAATTATCTAGGGCCTCTCTACAGACAGCAAACTTACACCCAAGGGTCTGTGACTTCTTGCAGCAGAGCTGGGAGTAGGGTACACCAGGTCTTCTGACCTCCATTGCTGGCTCTTTCTGCCTTATCCTTCCCTACAATTGTCCAGCAACCTTGGCCCTAGCTGGTTCTTTCCCTGTACTCAGAAGTCTCAGTGACTGCTTTTGGGAGCAGTAGCATCACTAGGAGGATTCATGTGTGTGTGTGTGTGTGCAACATCCCTTGACACTGTCAGAAGAGATAACCCCAAAATGATCCCAGGCTTCAAGGAGGGGGCAGCAGTGGGCCAGCCAGTGCTGTAAGAGGAGGGGCTGCCGAGGCAATGGTGTCACATCACCCAGTGTGGTAACATGTCCACTTCCCCACCACCACTCCCTAAAGGGCACAGGGCGTGGCTGCCATCTCCCACCCCCCACCCCCACTCCACCTGCACCCCTCTCCTGCTCCTCGAAGACCAGCTCCACCCAGGGCAGAAGGGTGTGGTGAAAACATGAGTTACTGCATCAGGTGATACCACCCTTAGTAACACCACTGTTTGGGAGCTTCAGCTCCTCATGGGTGAACAGGAGCTGGAAGGTGGAGGATGAAAGTGCTTCCTTCCCTTGCACTCTCTGTAGCCCTTGGCCCCATGGTGTTTAACAAGCCTTCTCTAGGGGACTGCTCTTGAACCTAAATAGTCAAGTACCAGACTGAGACGTTTCTAATCGTAGAACTTCATAGAGGGGCATGGTCTTTATGCTGGGGAGTGGGAGCAAGCATGAGTCAGGAAGGGTTTCTGGGGAGGCAGGCCTGTGGCAGGCCCAGAAGGAGAGGAAGGTCTAGTTGGACTGGGCTGGTCTGCTAATTCCTGGCAAAGGTATTAGCAACCCAGGCGCAAATGGGCCACCCCAGTGGAGTTTCATAGCAATGAAGAGATCAGTGGGCATGGGTCATTATTCAAGGGTTGACAGCCCAGAACACACCTGTGGGAAGCGGCTCTCTTCATCCAAGAGGGAGATGATGCTCATGGGCTTGAAAGCCAGCAGATCCAGGGTGTGCTGGTTGTTGGTGTAGTAAATGTAGTCCCAGGCAATGTTCTCCATGCGGTACTCCTCCTGTTCCATGGTGAAGACATGCTGGACAAAGAACTGTTGTAGGTGTTCATTGGCAAAGTTGATGCAGAATTGCTCAAAGCTGTAGAGGCAATGCCACCCACCCAGGGGTGGGGTAGGGTTAGCTGCATCCCTGCTGCAGTTGATGGGAAGCATGAGGTCACTAGCCATCTGCATACAGCCACACACATACGTATTCATGAAGGCACATCCCTGTGCACATGGAGATCCTACACACACACTACTCCCCACAATCTCCCTTTCTCTCTGCCACTATCACCATCACCTGCAAACAGGTAGAGAAATGAGAAACTATCATCAAGTTCCTGCCTTTGACATACTCTGCCCAGCCTGCCTATCCTGGCACCAGGACAGTCCTTGTAGGGACTGAGAGTACACAGGCAGTCCTAACCCATGTCCTTGGTATTGATATGAGTTTCTGAAGTCCAGTATTGACTAGTGGGACTGCTACTGAGCTTAGCCCCTCTGCATTGAGCAGATTTATGCCTTACCCAAGCCACCCCACTAATCCTCCAATTTGGTCTTCTTCCTGGGTTCTCCACCTTTGGAAATGGTACCTCTACCTATCATCTCCTCCTCAAGTCAGAAACCAAGGAGTCAAGTGTGTCATACCCTCCCTGATTCAATTGCCAAAATCTCACCCATGCTATCTCCAGGAGACCACTGTAACCTATTAAATTATTTGAACCCCACTACCATGACCTTAGTCCAAGCCACCTTCACTGTTCACCAAGAACAACATTGGCCTCCTAATAGCTCTCCTGTTTCCAGCCTCACCTCTCAAATTATTCTTCCCAGGGGCATTAGAAGAAGATTTCTGAAATGCAAATTCTATTAGGCCATTCTGCTGCTTAAATCTTTCTGGGGCTTCCTGTTCTTTATAGTCAAATAATGACTACCCATAGAAAGCCTGAGGTGAGGTCCTGCCTACCTCTGCAGACCTGCCTGTGGCCACTCTCTACCACTTCATACCTCTGAGTCTTCGCATAGTTGGTGCCTTCCTCCTTGTTTTCTTCATTACCTGGCTCACTTCTGCTTCTCCTTGGGTCTTACTTGGACAACAATTTCTCAGGATGATGAGTCCCCCATTTATGCAAAACCATAGTCTGTATCATACCTGAGACTGCTGCTTCAACCACTTTTTCCCTGAGAGTTTAGAAAGATGTCCAGCATGCTTACCCACACCTGCCTGTGCCCAGAGAAGACATGACTAATGAGGGGTTTGGCAACCCTCAAAGCACTCCACCTTACCAGGCCCCCAGCTTGCAGCCCTGTCACAAACCCCAGTGGTGGCTACTGATGGCTAGTGACTGTGACCATCTATGGACAGACCTATGGACAGAGCCACCACTTACCAACCACCAAGTACTCAGAGTTGTACTTAACTACTCCCCTGCCCTCCCATAGCCAAGAACCAAGGATCTGAATTACACTGGAGTTGCTCTGCCTTAGGACTCCCCATAGCATCAGGTTTAGTCCTGCCAACCCTGTTCCCTCCCATCTGACTTCCAGTGAGTAAACTCTTCCCTGGAACCAGGGGGGTCAAAATCCCAGTGTGCTTGTATTTGGAATGGCTGTGGTTTGGCAATCCTGGCCCATTCAGGGGGCTTTCATTTAAAATCACTTCCAGGACAAGCTTCACTTGGTGACAAGGCCTTGGATAGGGCATGTCATGGTCAGGCAGCCCCTTGGCTCCTCAGACAATGCCAAGAGGCCTCTGTTTCTTAGAACTAGTGTCCCAGGTTCTGTCCCATGAAGCGCTTTAAATGGACCAGGTTCACCCAGATAAAGTAGATTGTATCCAGGATGCATCTTCCTTATTTGTCCCACAGATGCTCATTTTTCTCATTCTCTGACCACCTCCTGCCATTCGATAAAGGCCATCAGCATCACCTGCCCTTGTTCAGCTCTACTCCCAGGCTCCTTTCTCACTGTACTTATCTACCCCCTTTCTCCCTCACAGTCACAACTAGGTATCAATTTTCTGACCTGCCTCCTGGTTACAGTTTTTCAGCCTCCAATTTGGAGTATAGGGACAGTAAAACACTGGGAAAGAAGGGTCTGTCCTCACCTCTCCCTCTCTTTCTCTCTCTCTCTCTCTCTCTCACACACACACACACACACACACACACACACGAGCACACACATGCACACCATTGCTGTTGAGTCAATTTACCCTCTCCAAACTAAAAAGTTAGCAATGATCCACAAATGTCCCTAGATTTTCTCTGTTATTCATTATACTATCTCATCCAAAGATTCAAGTAGATCAATATTTTTATATTTCCATTTTCACCATAATCTCATGTGATAATACACTCTAGCTCATAGAGAGAGAAAATGGCTCAAAGAAGGGAGACAAATGCCGGGACCTCAGCCTCACTCTCTGGGAGGGCTTTCAGCCATATGGTTTCTCCAGAAGTGTTGGACATACTGGATGGGGGTGGGGGGTGGGGAGTGAACACATGCCATCTCCCAGCAGAAAGACTCTGGTCACTCACCAGAGACTGGTCCTGGGGTTTGTGAGCAGAAGTGAGTGGCCCTGTTGTCAGACCAGTAAGACAGAATGGTTACCTTCCAGTTTGCCCTTCAGAGAGGGGCTTGGATTTGTCTCCAATTTCCTGAAAGCAGGTGAACAGAAACCTTCATACCTGTTGCTCTGGAAATTTTCAAAGCCAAATATGTCCAGGAGGCCAATAGCTCTTCGCACATGTTTGGGGTCCTGGGAAGGTGGAGTGAAGATGGCAGCATTGATCTTCCTGACGACCCACAGGAAGAGGTGCCCATAGATGCCCTGGGGGATGGGGGAAGAGCAATGTAGGCTTTGAGGCACAGAAGCAGGAGGGATGCCAATGTCTTCAAGCTTACCTGAATATGTTGCAGGCAGACCTGACCCCATGGAGCCTGCTGAGGAGTATTATCCCTGTTTTAAAGGTAAGAACGTGAGGGCCCAGGAGCTGGGAAGGCCACAATCTCTAGCCTAATGATGGGCAGAGTTGAGACTTTCCAGGCATTTCTGCTTCCACAGCCTGTGTTCTTTCCTGCACTCTACCAAGGACAGGGGGCACAGGTCATGTCCAATAGACAGATCCATAGGGAAGGGTCAAACAAAGGATACTGTACCTTGACAAATGCATCCCTCCGATCTGCAGCCTGGGTGATGTTCAGGGGTCTAGTGACAAACTCCCCACGGATGATGATAGAATTCTTGGTCAGGCAGTCCTGGAGTGCCTGGTGCTGCACCTGAGGACACAGACAGTTGGCTGGCACCACACCTCGCAGGGTCGGGGTCTGGGCCAGGATTCTTACCTGCTTCTGTACTGTCTTATTCCCAGTTTGGATCCAAGACTGTGAGAAGGAGAGTTGGCCTGTAGCCAGGCCTAGGACTCAGATGGGCTCAACATCAAGGTCCTGGTAGGGGCTAGTCCCAGGTGTAAGGAGAGATGCACAAGCTGGGTGGGGGCCCTGAACATACTAGGCTAGTCTCCTGGGGCTTGGGTAGGGGCTGGCACCACCAGATGGGTCTGAGGAAACATTTACTCTGGATAGCTGGCTGTAAGAAGGGAGCCCTGCTCATGGAAGGGCAAGGTGAGCTCTGGGGCTATAGCATTGACATGTGGGTCTGCCCTAAAGAAAGCCACTCCGCCTGGAGGCTGATGATCTATGGGGACAAAGGAAGTCTAGATGGGCCAGTCCTTTGCCACCACCAGGGAAGACCAAGCCAGCTAAACCCAAGGCTTCTAAGAATCCCTGAATCAAGTGAAGCAAAAGTGTGTACTCCAATTGCTTTTATGAAATTGTTTCTTTCTCATATTAACATCCCACCAGAACTGTAATGTATGTTACGATGTAAGGACACTACAGTGTTCTGCCTAGTACCTGCCACATTTCCTATGCTTCCAGGCTCCATGGTCTCTGTCATAACATAGAGGCAGTAACATTGACCAAAATCTCATCAGCACACTCTAGAGGAACACAGCTCAAGAAGAAGCCTTGGGTTGGAGATGTAGGACAGGAGCACATTGATGGGAGGTCCAGAGCACAGGGCATTGGGTTAGATGCCAGGATGAGGAAAGGCTAGCGACTGACTGGATGGAGAGTTAGGAGTGGGGTGTAGGGCCACTGAGAAGCAGAGGAAACATAGGACAGGAAAAGGAAGTGGGCCAAAGCCTAACTGGCTATTTCATGACTTTGTTATGATTGGCTCACACTGTCCCCACCCTGACTCCATCCCAGGGACCTGCAATGTGCAGAAGGGAAGGGTGTGGCTTATAACATGGGAGAGAGGAATGAGGCAGGAGTGGGGGCCTGAAAAGTAGCAGGAGGGTCTGTTGGCCTTGGTTCCTAGGGCCCTCACAGAGATGGAAGCTAGCAGATGCAACAAACTCAGTTACCTCCAGCAACTTCATCACGATGGGAAAGGTGGGTGTCTCCTTCACATCTGAGGAATCCAAGTTCTTGAAGACTGAAGCTATAGACAGAAACAGTAACCCTGAGTGCCAAAGTGGCCTGCAGTGATGGGAGAAAGAGGTCCTTTTGTGATGCAGATCCATAGCACCTGAGACAAGTGTCCCTGGCCACTCACCAGAGACTGGCCATGGGATTTGTGAGCAGAGGTGAGTGGCATTGGCTCTCCCAGGCTCCTCCCTTTTAGGGGAAAAATGTCCCTGGTGACTACCAGTCATTAACTCCTTAGCTGTGAGTTAATGCCAAAAATTAGTTCCCTCTCTGCTGGATTATATCAGAGTCCCTGTGAAAGGGAAGTGTGAATAAATTGGGATTGTTTGGAGGGGAGAAGCCTGGATTGGGATTCCTGTCAGACACTGATGCTAGGGTTGGAGTGAAGAGCACATTAGGGCAGAAGATGAATCACTGGCCTCCTTCAGTCTACTCAGGTGTCCAAGCTAGAAACTTGGGCATTCGTTCATCCAATCAAATGAAATAACCATTAACTGAGCACCTACTGTAGGCTGGACCCCTCTCTGGACACTGTGTGAAGCATTGGATAGAGGTCTCCTTTGCTTCCTCCCTATTCTTCAACCCTCTGTAAGTAATCTGTTATCAGCACTGTCCATGCTTGCTCTCAAGTCAGCCCCTTTGTTCCATCCCATTACTTACTTCACCTTAGTTTGGACCACCTGCATTTCTTACCTGGACTCTTGCAATATAGTCTCCTGCCTGTTGTCTCTACTTCAAGTTTTCCCTCTTTGATTCAACTCCACCTTAGCACTACTAGATTGTGTGTGGGTTTTGTTTTGTCTTTGTTTTCTTTTTTAAAATGTTTTAAAATTATGAAATTAAGCATATATATAGATATACATATAAGTACATGAAACAAAACTATGATATAATGAATAAAGATAAGGACAGAACCTGTGTAACCACTAGTAAAGGAAAATGTGGAACTGATTTCAGCAGTTTTCCATGTGCTCTTTCTGGCTATGACTCTTGTTCCTCTCTATTAAGAGGTAGCCACTCTCCAGACTTATAGAACTCTTTTCCTTGTTTTTTCCTTATCTTTTTATTGCCTACATATGAATCTCTGAACATCATTGGTTGAAGTTTGCCTATTAATTACTGTGTAAATGAGTGCTATTGGCACAGTGGTTAAAGCATACGACTATTAACCAAAACATTCATGGTTTGAACCCACTAGCTGCTTCACAGGAGAAAGATGAGGCAGTCTGCTTCCCTAAAGATTTACAGCCTTGGAAACCCTATAGGGCTGTTCTACTCTGTCCTAAAAGGTCACTATAAATTGGAATTGACTCAATGGCAGTGGGTTATTGCCTTGTAAATGTGATACACTTGCTTGTATTATTTTGTGTCTGGCTGTATTGCCTCAATACCATGTTTTATTACTCACATATGTTCTGATGTCCCCTTCCTGTTAGCAACTATATAATCATACTAGCTATAACGCACCTAAAGGAGACTTTTTATTCTTTGTTTTTGTGTATGTATGTGTGTGTATGTGTGTGTGAAAATAAACACAACAAAACACACATCAATTCAACTATGTGTACATGTACAATTCAGCAACATTGGTTAGATTCCCAAATTGTACCATCTTTCTTAACATCCTTTTCCAAATTATTTCACCATCATTAACATTTTGCAAATAATTTCTCATCTGATCTTTTGAGTTGCTGTTGTCAATTAATCACATACAGGTAATTCTTTAAAAGAGCACAGTACTTAAAGAAAACATTCTTTTTTTGTTTGAATTACCCTAAATTTATTCTTTTTGTTTCTTTCTTTTTTTATTATTGTGATTTGGGTGAAGATTTACAGAGCAAATTCACTTTCCATACAGCAGTTTACATATGCTTTGTCTCATGACATTGACCACAGTTTACCACAAGGCAACAGCTTCCCTCCCACTTACTCCCCATAGTTACCTCTTCTCAGTGTCCATCCCTCCATGGACTCCTGCCCCCTAAGCTGTCTCCCTGTGCACATTTCTCAATGATTGTTCTCTCCAAGGAGTGTATCTACCTCAGGTAAATGTTCAACTCATCTGTCTGTATTTTGTTTGGCTGGAAACCACAGGTGTGGGTTCAATTCCAGACCTGAAGGGGGGCCATAGTCTCAGTGGTTCTACCAGGCTCTATCAGACCAGCAAACCTGGTCTCCACCACCATCACCCCTTTTTTTTTTCTCCAAATGATTTTGAGTTTTGTTCCACATTGTTTTCCCTCTCTATCATGGATCTACTACACAGATCCCCTTCAAGTGGATGACAGTGGTAGCTGGGCACCATCTAGTTCTTCTGGTCTCATAGTCATATATGCTGCAGATCAGATGGTGTACCAGTCGCTAGGGCTAATTGTTTCCATGAATTTTGGTTTTCTTCATTCTTCTTTGCTCTGGATGAGGAGAGACTCATC